TACATTGTTGTATCACCTGACACTTTCCGCAGAATCACTACGAGTCATGAAATGGATGATTGACGCATCATTTGCGGTGCATCCAGATTTCAAGAGCCATACTGGCGGCACTCTGTCCTTTGGAGGATGTGCAGCTCAAGTGATGTCAAAGAAGCAAAAGCTAAACAGCAGAAGCAGTACGGAAGCGGAACTGATTGCTGTTGACGATGTTGTCACAATGATACTACTATGGACAAAGTTGTTCATGGAGTGGCAAGGGTATCCGATCGAGAAAAATATTTTGTATCAGGATAATAAAAGCGCAATTCTACTGGAAGAGAATGGTCGCAAGATCACGGGCAAAAGAAGCCAAGCTATCAATATTCGTTATTTCTTTATCACAGATCAAGTTGAGAAAGGAAATGTTAAGATCGAATACTGTCCAACTGACGATATGATTGCGGATTTCATGACTATTCCATTGCAAGGTGAGAAGTTTTGCAAGTTCAGGGATCTGATTCTTGGTCCACAGGACTAGGTCAGACAAGTATGTATATGTTCAAAATGAAAATGCAAAACAAAATAAACAGTGAATGAGAGCATGTCCCATTGCTGCCAATGGTGATTGTCACAATGGCAGGAGTGTGTTGGGATATGACGAAATATGAGTTTTTACGTTCCAAAAAGGAACTATTCAAGTACAAAGTTTTCAACACGTACGATCGGACTTTGATCGTGATGTCGGGATTCAACGCAAGTATGCCGGACGCAAGTCTGTCGGACAAACTACATCCACAGAAAAAGGGAATGACCCTATACAGGTGAGATATCAATGTTGTGTACAATGCAGTAGGGAATAATACAAGATGTCCCAAAGTACTGCATTCAACACAGAATTGTCATAGAGGTCAAATCAAGTTCTGTAAACAAGAGATTTTCCAAGGGAAAATTGTTGAACTTACTTTTGTGATTGAATCATCAATTCAAGCCAAATATTAATCAAATAGGAACAATTTCACTCAAAGTATACCTAGACACAGGAGAACTATTGTTGTGAAAGTGTTGTACAATCGATTACAAATTTAGATTGCAGAGAGTTTGTTCTGAGCGCTAAAGGCACTCACGATTTTGCTTTATTCTAACAATGACAGAGTTGTCTAAAACTGTTAGGCCTGTTCGGATGCTCACAGTGGACGTCCCTACAGGTCCACCGGGCCAGACACGTGTCAGCACTACTACACTACTCAGTCCCTCTCTCATGGCATTGCTCCACCGGCGACTGCTCACAAAACGGACGGAGAAGATGGGGCGGACCAACCCAATGCGTCCTCTCCTATGGACACCGGTCGTGGGGGTATCAGTACCCCCACGACGGGTCCATGATAAACAAAAGATCGCCTGCCGCTCGGTTGCGGCGGAACAGGCATAGATTGTTTATCACCAGCAACCGGTCAAGAGCGGCTCCACACACCTCTCTTGATTCCCTTTTAAGTTCCTTCCTTCCAGGAGATGGTTTTGGTGACAACCATCTCGTTCGTGCACAGGGTTCCGCCCGACTCGCCTTCCAGAATATTATCACTATTCCCAACAAGTCAGACGACCCTAAACAAGCACAACTCAACCACTGGATTCAAAGCAAATGTGTGGACTTTTTACTTCTGGCTGAATTGAACAAATTATGGCCAGCTATTACACCAACCAACCGATGGCGTGAACGAGCCAGCACTATGGCTAGGAAGGGCAAAGGTTTCCATTCGGCGGTGGCCTACAATACCCATCAACCACGGGTGGCCCATTCTACCACTCAATTTGGGGGCAACTCGACTTCTGCCTTCAATGAAGTCTCTCACCAAGTCAGGTCCAGTGGCGACGATAGCTTGGGGCAATGGGCTTGGATACGTCTTCAGGGCCAAACACAAGGCGTTGGCCAGCGCGACTTGGTGGTGATCTCTGCCTACCGACCAAACCCACCCAACAACGGGCATCAAACAGTATGGTTCCAACACAAGGCCCACTTCAGCCGCACCAACCGCGACGCAGAACCCAGGGAAGCTTTCATCAAGGACCTCTCGACGGCAATCAACAAATGGCGCGACAACGGTTGTTCCATCATCTTGGGCATCGATGCCAATGATGACTTGTCCTCCTACTCCCGAAAGTCTTTCCGTTTTCGGATGAGCAAAGTAGGACTGATTGAGGCGATCCAGTCCAAACACCCAGGGTCTCATCAGGCCACTTACCAGCGAAACCTCCATGGGTATACGATTGACGGTATCTTTGCGACGCCTGACGTGCCCATCCTGGCCGCCGGGTACTACCCTTGACAAACACGTTGCCTCCAATCACCGTGGCCTGTGGATCAACTTTGACTTGCACAGTCTCCTTGGCGGACACGAACATACGAAATCCACCCATGTTCCACGCCGGCTGGTGATGCACAACAAACGGGTGGTTCAACAATGTGTCCAATTGGCGGAGCAGGATTATATGCGGTACAATATTCTGGGTTGTCTCTCTACCCTAGGATTCGATGTTGCCCGACAGCAGGGCGGCATCACCAACTCCCAGGGGGTCAGATTCGATTGGAGACATGCTGATGCTTACACAGTTCGACGGTTGGCGGAGCAGAACTGCAGGAAGGTGTTGATGGGCGGGGCGGAATGGTCTCCGAAAGGCCAATCCATTCGGGATCGGATCACCTTGTGGCGCCTTCTCCTCAAGGGCCGACGTCAGTGCCGGGTAAGCTCCAGGAAGGTTCGCCGCCTGCTGCTCAAGACAAACGAGCCCTTGGCCTGGAAGTTGACCACAGCCAAACTTGAGTCCCATCTCACCCAAGACCTTGGTCAATATAGAGACGCCAAGAGGGGCCTCACTTCGAAATGGCTGAAGGCTCATGTCACTACACGTACCCAGAGCATTGCTAAAGTCCGCCACAAGATGGCAAGCCAATGAGAACAATATCACCGCTTAAGGTCCATGAAGCAACGCGAGGAGACTCGTCGGAGGCGCAAGGCTCGTTCCTCCGGCTTGTCTGGCGGTCTAAGGGCCATTCAAGTCGAACTGGAGGACAGCTCTGGCAATTGTCGGTTACAGACCATTACTGACCCGACGTTGGTCAAAGATGGATGCATGCAAGAAAATAGGGCCAGGTACCAACAAACCCAGACCCCACATCCAACTCCTCCCATGTCTGAGCCACTCTACACTATGTTCACGGGCCCTGACGCCAACAACAACCAACAACTTCTTCTGGAGGGCAAACTCCCCATCTCTGGTGGCCTGGCTTACCCTACCCAAGCCTTCCTTCGCCACTGTCGACTGCACGGCAGTTACCGGTCTCGTCCTTTCCCCTTGACGGTTGAAGAGCACGTGGACTTTTGCAGTTGCACTCCTGAGAACAAGGGTTCTGAGCCCCACGGCCTCCATAATGGCCACTTCAAGGCAGGCGCCCTCTCGGAACTGTTGGCTTCTTGTAATACGGCGTTTTGGGACCTTCCACTCCGTTCAGGCCATGTTCCGGAACTCTGGAAGAACCTGATGAATTTTGCGATTGAGAAGAAGCCTGGCGACTTCCGCCCACAAGGGATGCGGACCATCCAGCTGTTCAACTTGGAGGCTCAAGCCAACTACAAGAAGGCGGGTCGGGCTGCAATGAAGATTGCTGAGGAGGATAACATCATCCCTAAAGGACAGTGTGGGTCACGAAAGCAGCACCAGTCCATTGATCTCGCCCTTTCCAAACAATTGATCTGGGACTTGCTGATCCTGGAACGACGGTCTTCCGGCTGGATCTCAAACGACGCAAAGTCTTGCTTTGATTGCATCGTTCACTGGGCAGCGAAGATTTGGCCTGCCGGTCACTGTCACCAACCTAATGTTTGATATCTTGGCAAAGGCTAAACACAGGGTCCAAACTGGCTTTGGCGACTCGGATCGGACCTTTGGGCCCACTGGCGATGTTCCCTTCCAGGGCTGCGGTCAAGGCAATGGCGCAGGCCCGTGCATCTGGGTTGCAATCAGTGCCATCCTCATTGACACCATGGAGGTCAAGGGATTTGGGTACAAGAGCTGAACTGCCCTCACCAACGAGGAGTTCTTCGCTTTGTGCTTCTGCTTTGTTGATAACACCGATGTCATGGAGTCTAACGACAACATGGAGACAACTGGCGAAGACCTCCTTCCTTTGGTACAGTCGGCTTTGAACCTTTGGTCGGGTGGCATCAGTGCCACTGGTGGAGCTATCAACCCGGCGAAATCCTTCTGGTGACTGATTGATTTCAAATGGCGGCCGTCCTCTGGCACATGGGTGTTTCGAAGGAAGGCTGAAATGCCTGGCGAACTAACTCTCCAAGACCCTACTGGGCCGTGGGCGACACTACGACTCCTCCAACCCGATGAAGCTGAACGGACCCTGGGAGTCATGATGGCCCACTTGAGACCGGAACAGCACAACACCTTACCCTGTGGGGCCCTGTGGGAGAAGGCCAAGACCTGGGCAGCCAAGTTCTGTCCCCAACATCTACTGTGCTATGACGTTCTTCCGCCCAAGGCAACCGCCTTGAAAACTTTGGAGTACATGATGCCCCTTTCCACACTGGCCGCTCCGCCTGGGTGTCTATCATGTCACCGATCCTCCAAGCGAGTTTGCATAAAGCTGGGGTTTGCCGTTCCTTTCCCCGCGTCGTGGTCTTTGCCCCTCTGAAGTACCAGGGATTGGGTATCCCACATCCCTTCGCCCTTCCAGTCTTCCACCATCTCAGTGTTCTGATGCGCCATTCGGCCAACTGTACCAAGACCGGCTTGTACCTTGAGGCCAACCTACAGTCCCACCAACTCGAAACGGACACCTCCTTTCCCCTTCTTCAACAAGAACCCACCAACACCGGGATCCTTGCCTCCAAAACATGGCTCAAACGGGTTTGGATCGAGCTTGACTCATTGGGCATCAGAGTCGAGATCTCCTCCCCTCCCTTGTCTCTACACTGTGCCAACGATCGTCTCCTGATGGACATCTTCATTGATGCCTTGGTCGTCCAAGAGGGCTTGCTGTGGCTCAACTGGTGCCGCCAATACCTCCAAGTCACCGCCCTCTCGGAACTCGCCACCGCCGACGGGTGTTCCCTGACGGCAGCTTCTATTGCCGGCCAACCCTCCGGACACTTTGCGACCAGCTACAATTGGCCCCAGACCCAATGCCCTGGCCCCTCTCATTGGGACCTATGGCGACGGGTCCTCTCTCAAGCCGTTCTCCGCCCCTACAGTCGCCGTCGCCGCTTGCTGCGCCCCCCCCCCCTTGGACCGTGGTCTGATTCGCTAGACCAATGGACCTGGCTCTTCTCTTGCACCGCTTTGATCGTCTTCCATCGGACGGCCAAACACCTGGCAATCTACCGACCCATCAACTCGCGTTCACATAAGACCTTCCGCAGGGATCTTCACCACACCTGGACAGGAACCCTTCCTGGGGACGTCCAAAGGGCATCAGTCACCCTTCACCCACAGACAGCCTACATCACTGTCACGGGCACGGCCCCGGTAGATCCACCAGATCCGGAGACGCTGCCATCCTCGATCCTTCACATCTGGAAGGAATTGGCAGCCGACATGGACGATGATTGGGGATCAGTCCCGGAATACATCTACATTGCAGGTGACGAACAAGTCCTACTGGAGGCACTGGAGAAGGGAAAGTTACGGGTGATTAGCGATGGCTCCTTCAAGCAACAAGTGGGCACAGCCGCAGTCCAGCTACGGACTAGACGTGGAGGGCACGTCATCTGGATCAAGTGCCGTACACCTGGTAAACAAGAGGATCAGAGTGCGTACCGGAGTGAACTTATCGGTCTGTTAGCTGGTATCTTGGTGGCTTCTTGGCTCCGCCTACACCTACAGTCCCTCGCCAAGCCATGAGTCCGTGTGGCGTGTGATGGGATTGCCGCGCTTTGCCAGGCCTTCTCGACTTGGCCGCTGTCTCCAACCGCCCCACACTTTGATCTCTTGTCCTCCATCCGCGAGGCCCTCCGAGTTTCCAACATCTCCTGGGCCAAACAATTGTGGGCGGCCATGCTGACCAAACCAAGACATGGCAACAGATGTCTTGGTGGGAAAGACGGAACTCCGCGGTGGACGACATTGCCCAGGGCTATGCCAACAAGCTGATCGCCACCGACGACATGATCGCCACTAACCCCAAGTTCTTCTCCAAACGTTGTGCAATCTACATCTGGCCTTGGAATCGGTTGACAAAGCCGTTGTCCTGCCGGAATTGATGGAATACTGGGCAGCCAAAGGCCGCCTCGCTCCCAAACACTTCCGATCGGTGGACTGGCCGATAGTGCACCAAGCAATGAAGTCTCTGAAGCCCGCCAAACAGCGCTTCATCACAGAACACACCGTTGGCATGTGCGGTGTCGGCAAGTTCCGTAAACGTTTGGGTCTCGACTCCGAGAACCGATGCCCCTTGTGCGGACTGGAAGAAGACCACCTACACGTCCCCCGCTGCCCTTCGGACCGGGCCAAGACCCAATGGCAGTTCTTACTCCAAGAACTCCAAGAATGGTTCCAGTCCACCACCACTGCTACACCCATTGCCCAATTCCTCGGGGCCCTTCTTCGCACCATCCGCAATCCTAGCAACCAGCCTCAACCAGAGACTCCGTGGTACCGCCTACAAGGAATGTCTTCTTCCGCCCTCACCCAAGTCTGTGAGGCTCAACTCCGCCTTGGCCCCCAATGTCTCCTCGAAGGCCTTCTTGTCCACGGCTGGGCGGACCTCCAGCAACAATTCTACCACTCTCGCGGTAGTCGCCGATCCGGTAACCTGTGGGCTGCCAATCTATCTTGACAGCTCATCCTTATTGGTAAAGGCATGTGGAAGCATTGCAATGATGTCTTTCATTCCGATGACAACATCGTCAACCAACAGCGCATGACTGCTCTTGATTGACGCATCCATGAAGAGTTTGACATGGGTCTTCGCGACCTGTCTTGGAACCTTCGCCCTGCCATCTGTCGATCCCGCCTTGTAGAAGTCCTCTGACCCCACCTGGCGGACAAGGAGGAATGGGTCCTTGTCATCTCCGAAGCCCGCCGCAAAATCAGACAATCTCTTGCAGGCAGGCGACGATTGATGTGGGAACTGACCCACCCTCCCCCTCGCCCAGCAGCCCCCTGACTTACTTGTCTACATATTTACCAAAGTGATTCTGGTACCGGTACATCACAAGCCACACGTACCCCAGTCTAACACATACATATTCTCCACCCCACCTTGCATGGGAGAGCCGATCGTCCCTTGACACTTTTGACTTGCGAGCAACGTTCCTCTATTGAACGCCTCCACGTGGTTCAAACTTTGTTGACCAAAAGCAACCTAGTTTCTGGCCTCTACAGCCGTATTACACCGGCAGTTGGATACTCTAGAAGTAGCATAGATACCAATTAATGATTCAGTTACATATATAATCAAATGATGCAAGTTCCTTTGGGAATGCAGCTCATGCAGATTCCAACTCAAGGTGGCGGAACTGTTACTGTCCCTTACTCAATGAATGCTAATGGGGAAATTGCGTTCAGCGGAATGCAACTCGGCCATCAAGGATTCAGTGGTGCTCAAGTGCGCCAAGGATTTGATGCAACTCAAGCTCAAACTCCGCAGATCATGAAGACTGGCTATTATGATACGTCAATTGTCTTTCACGATGCTATCAAGGGAAAGGATGAGAATGGCAATGATGTCTATCTTATTCCATGCCCTACTGGTACGACAAATGTTGAACTTCAAGCTGACTGGCACTATGCTAGTGAAAACGAAGATTTGCCTGATCTTGCTACTGAAGCAGATTGAGGTCTGCAGTTTATTCAAAGCTGCAGAAGAGAAAGAGATCCATTTGGGTTGTACAATCATGTCATCATGGACAGTGGTTGTACAAACACCACCATTTGTAATGGTGGGCTCATGCATGGACTCTGTCATGCTGAGAAGGAACTTGATATGCACACTAACGTGGGCAGCAGAGTTCTCAACAAAGAAGGTTTTCTAGGAAGATTTCCGCCTCCAGTTTATCACAATGAAGATGGAATTGCCAATGTTCTTGCTATGCGCGAGATGATTGCTGTGGGATACCGCATTACTATGGATACTGATGCTGACAATGCCTTTATTGTGCATTGTGATGGAAACAGAAAGATGTGATTTGTTAATCGTAAGGGTGTGTATGTGTTGGAGCAACTTGGAGCGAATGTCAAACCAGGTGCCAAAGAGACAAGTGCAATGTACCGTCGTCAGTTAAACAACTTCAATAATCAACCCCTTCCAAACTTTCTTCAAACAAACAGAATGGATATGCTGGACTTGAGATGACCTCCAAGATGGCAACTGTGCAAAAGAAAAAGGAAGGATTCACTCCAAGACAAGTCAAGGCTGCGATGGAAGCGAGAAGTGCAATGCACATACTCAATGCTCCAAGCACCAAAAGTCTGAAGTATGCGATCCGATCTGGTCTCATCAAGAACTGTCCTATCACCGAAGAAGCGATCAATCATGCCGAAGCAATCTTTGGACCTGACGCCTCTACATTGAAAGGCAAGTCAACAAGACCAACTCCAACGAAGACGTAAGACAACTTCTTCAGTCCACCAGAGGAATTATATCAGCACAATCGATCTATTACCGTCTGTATTGATCACATGAAGATCGAGAATGCTAAGTTTCTCACCTGTACTGATACCACTGTGCCTTATCGCTCATGTATTCCTGTGCAGAACCTGAAGACTGACCCTGTATTTGAAGCATTGGATAAGATATTCCGCCGCTACAACAAGGCAGGCTTTCAAGTCATGATCATCAAGTGTGATTGGGCGTTCATTCCTCTCACGGATGATATGCTAGACAATATGGGTGTTACTATTGACCTGACTGCAGCTGGAGACCACGAGCCTACCGCTGAGCAAAACAATAGGACGCTGAAAGAAAGAGTCAGAGTAGCTCTTGCACGGTTACCCTACAAAGTGGTCCCAAAAGTGATCACTGAATGTCTTGGACGTTGAGCCGCCGAGCTATTGAATGTCTTTCCCCAGAAAGACAGTATCTCATCACATTTCAGTCCGCAGCAACTCATTGATAATGTCAATATCAACTACAAGAATGACATGGTTGCTGAACTTGGACAATATGTTCATGCAATTGGGACGGATTCCAACAATTCGATGGAACCCCAAAGTATCAAAGCGATTTCCATTGAGCCTACGAAGGGACAACTTACTGGGCACCGAGTGCTCAACCTCAATACTAAAAAGATGATTTCCCGACCCAAGGTCGTTGTACTACCCGTTACCGATCAAGTAATCCAGCGTGTTGAAGCTTGGGCTGCTGTTG